GTATATATACATCTACATATATATATACATATACATACATATATATTGTTGATTCTGTTAGTTATATACATATGGATAGATAAATACACACTGTACCTCCCTGGCAATATTATTTCTAAAACGAACGTCAGATGTTGGCGGTGGACGAATAAAGAAACTGACAGCATTTAGACACCTTGAAGATTGTACTTTAATTCATCTGGCATGGAGACACGCTAACTAACATCGAAAATGTGTGTGTCTTGCGAGGGTAATTGTTTTGTTTTCGAAGGATTATATTGGATCTATCTTTGCTTGATATGGCCTGTGCCCTGAGACACCTTATTTACGCACAGAGGCAAGTTGAACATGGGGAAGAGTTTCTGACAGACTAGCTTTTGCCACTTCCGATAAACGATAGATATGTACGAAAGTACATATATGAATATGTATATGAATCTCATTTGTACTTCTTCTCTTTTGTCGACTTCGTGGCCTTGCCCCACATACCACTGCCTTTCTTCAGTATCTTGTGCATATCTTTCAACATGCCTAGTATGACCTCAAAATGCTCCAGCGCTGCCATTGCCGCCAACACTGAGAAGAATCGCTTGGCTAATACTAAAGCCAGGCAAACCGGAATTACAATCACAAACAAAAACGGGAAGGCAACCACCCCAGCTATAGCAGCCAACACAGGCGTTGACCCTGAAGCATTCTCGTATGCATCTACGGCGTTGTCGTATATGTAGTCGACCTTTATGTCCGGCAAGTAGGACGCTACATCTGTCAAGAAGAAAATCATACCGAAAAGAATAACTGTCTTGTATGTCTTAGAGATCACATTGATCCAGTACCGCATTCGGGGGCTGTAATACTTCATAGTGTACTTAGAGTGCAAGTAGTGGTTGATGATACCCTTCTTGATCTTAACCCCATTCCCCTTAAGTTCGCACACAATGCGTTCAATGTCACTCAGTTTCCGTACGTATATCTTTACCAGCTCAGCAGGCCTAGTAGCCCCGACGGGTGTGCATTCTAAAGCAATCTTGTTTGTGCTTGTAGCAGATAGACTCCCAGCGTCGCATAGATTGATACGTTCATATGGGATTTCATAGTGACTTTCGGTTTCCGATGCCGCGTCTGAGTTAAGGTGAAGCTTCTTGCCGTCTAAGTAAATAGAAGTTTTATCATGTCTAAGTGTGCCCTCGTAAAAGCCAGCAACTGTTTCGTATTTCACATCGAATGCAAAGGGTGCGGCTGGGAAGTATACTTCCTTTTCCTCGCTCATATTGATGAGTGACACCTGATCGCTTCGTTGCTTTGGGATTGACTTGATATCACAATAAGTCTGTACTGTCTCTGTGAGCGCGCCTCTACTCAGTATTGTAGGAGAGAGTTTGTCTACACTCTATGGTCTAGACCAACCAGGTTCTGCATAAATAAATATCAGTGGTTCCGAACTTCAGTCGATTTTTTCCCTTTTGTTTCTAAAAATCAACACAACAAAATCTTGACGCTTGTTGGGTTTTACGAAACCCTGGAATATAATTTCCAAAAACACGTGTACCAACTACGCACAGAGTTACAGAGTGTATCAGAGTTGCAGAGTACAGTATACTCAAGTTTAAATATGTATCTGAATCGACAGTCTGCTATAGACAGAAGTTAAGTTGTCAAGCACACTGCAACCTAGGTTGATATAGATATATTCTAGTGCATCACAAAGAATCACTATGGGTAAAGCAAAGAAAACTCGGAATGCATCCGTAAAGCGTATGGTCAGCAAGGCCGATCCACGTTTAGAGGCAAATAAGGTCAAAGCGGAAGCGAAGGCTAAAAAACTGGCCAAAGCAGAGGAACCTCGGAAAGTAGTACAAGCATCTACAGCCCTATTTTTCCACTACAATCAATCGCTGGGCCCCCCTTTCCACATACTTTTAGATACAAATTTCATTAATTTCTCGATACAAAACAAGATGGAAATCGTGCAGAGTGCAATGGATTGCTTATACGCCAAATGCGTACCTTGTATAACCGACTGCGTGCTGGCGGAGTTGGAAAAATTGGGATCTAAGTATAGAGTAGCGTTGAGAATCGCCAAGGACCCCAGGTTTAAGAAACTGAGATGTATACACAAGGGAACATATGCCGATGACTGTTTGGTGGACAGGGTGATGCAGGTAAGCACGTGTGACAAATGGTACATAATTTTCCCTTCACCTACAATGCATGGATAGAATACTTAGAAATTGTTGTATATCCTGTAGAATACTCGTGGCATAATTGTCTACATCTATATTGAAACTTTGCGTAACAAACGACATAATATATATATATATATATATATATGTATATGTATATATGTATAAAAGCACGCACGCACACACACACATATATATATATATATCGTATTATATATATATATATATATACATATATATATATATAAATATATATACATATGTATATATATATATTTATATATATAAATGTATGTATATATATAAATATG